AGAAACCAAAACTCATAAAATCATAGATATTTGCTCTGATGCAGCTGTAAATTATCCTTCAACTTCACCCCTTAGGGGGATCTCTGCCATTGTCATGTCTAAGTAACCAGTTTCCTCAATTCCCATGCTTCCATGCCAAGCATTTTCAATGGGATGTCTACCAATGTGCTAAGAATGTACTTTGTTCAATTGTGTGGCCAATTATTGACCTGGCCATTCATATCATTTGCTTAGATTTCCCTTTTACTGTGCCTAAGCACACCCAGGCCTGTGTGACACAGAAAGTTCACTAACAGTTTGAATAATTCAGCCAGGAAGGTCCCCTGGAAGACCACACTGGTAGAGAAGCTCTATGGAGGCAGAAAACCTGGCTCAATCCTGATAGAGCTCCAGGAACAATCTCCCCCATGATTCCTCTCCCTCCCATCCAAATTTCTCAGAGCTGCTCTCAAAGCTGCACAGAAAAGATTTGGAGACAAAAGCCAATGAGGGGGCCAGGTGCAGTGGCTCATGCCTGTAATCCTAGCACTTTAGAAGGCTGAGGCTGGTGGATCACTTGAACCCAGGAGTTCGAGACCAGCCTGGGCAACATAGGGAAACCCTACAAAAAATACAAAAAATTAGCTAAGCGTGGTGGTATGCACCTGTAGTCCCAGCTACTCCAAAGGGGAGGGGGAGGATCGCTTGAGACTGGGAGTTCAAGGTTGCTGTTGAGTGATGATTGTGCCACTGTATGCCAGCCAGGGTGACTGAGCAATACCCCATCTCAAATAAAATAAAATTAAATTAAAATAAAAGCCTGCCAGGCGCAGCAGCTCACACCCATAATCCTAGCACTTCAGGAGGCCAACACGGGTGGATCACCTGAGGTCAGGAGTTCGAGACCAGCCTGGCCAACATGGTGAAACCCTGTCTCTACTAAAAATATAAAAGTTAGCCAGGTGTGGTGGTGGGCACCTGTAATCCCAGCTACTCAGGAGGCTGAGGCAGGAGAATCGCTTGAACCCCAGAGGCAGAGGTTGTGGTGAGCTGAGATCATGCCACTTCACTCCAGCCTGGGCAACAGAGCAAGACTCTGTCTCAAAAACAAAACAAAACAAAACAAAAACAAACACACACACACACACACACACACACAAACCACCAATGAAGGGAGGCTCCTCTCACCTCCAATAACAAGAAGGAACTGCCTCCAAAATATCCATTTACCCTTTCTGTAAAATGGACATTCTTTCCCTCTCCCTGTACCTCACCATACATGAGATAAAGGATGTGAAGTACACAG